ATCTTTTGACCCATCTAAAGGGTATTTTTGCCATTTGTTGCCACTTAACTTCTACAGAGAAAATAAGACTCTTCATTTTCCTGTTGATATGATGCCATCACATTGTTAGATTGGCCATACAAAGGTGCTCAGCATTTTATTTTTTCCTTCTACTAAAAGAAAACGTGGCCAGTTACCCACATAATCCTTGGTTTCAACTCCACACGTAGTCACTGTACCAGTGCCAATTCTCCTCTGGTAAAGAGTCACAGGTCTATGTGAATAAAGAGCCTGGTTGTCATGTCTCATTCTTCAAGGAGAGTGATCTCTCATAGGTAGGGCCAACGTCCACAGTCATCTGTTCTGCATATGGATGTCCACTGGTACGATAGTTACTGTTGTGGGTTGATTAGCATTGGAACTGTTCTGACCGAAAGTAGGTGGGGTCTTGGCTTTGGTGCTTGTGGGTTCCAGCTCTCGTTTTGCCCTCATGTGTCTGTAAAGAGAAATTAAAATTTCGTCATCATTTCCTACTTGTCCGGGTGTGGGCTCTCCTATTTTAAGTCCTGTCTGGGGGAAAATGTCAAGAATCATGGTGCATTGAACATCAAGGGTGAAATCCTGGCCACACTGAAGTCAATGGAAATTCCTGCCATTTTAGTCAGTGGAGCCAAGATTTCATCCCAAGATTTTAACTGAAACCCAGTGTTACTAATGGTTCATCAGTGTGGTGACGAGAGTTTTAGATTTATACCCTACTTCACTTTCCTCCACGAAAATGCCAGAAGCAGCAGCTCTCTGTTGCCCCACTCTGCTAAACGCGGGCAATGAGTTCCAAAGAACAGGGGCCAACACCAAGAATCTTCTGCTGCCTGCTCCCAAGAGTTAATCCTTGGGGACAGGCAGTGAGAGCATTACAGCTGGCTAACTGTAACGGGGGATGGGGAAGAGGAGGTTGAAAAAAGGAGTACATTGTTTTTTGAAAAATTTTCAAAGTTGTTACTGTTTTGCAGGGTATGAAATGGATCTTTTTTGTTTCTCTCTCCCCCCCCCCCCAAGTTTTTACAAATTTATTTTATTGAAAAAATTTGAATAAGCGTCATGAAAAATGAAAGTCAAGGTTTTGCAAAGATTTTACTTTTTGAAAAAGGCCATTTTTCAAATACATCTTTTACTTCCAAAAATTTCAGCCAGGACCCAGGTCATTTAGGGATTTATAGATAATTAGCACCTGAAAACAAACAGGAAGCCCGTCTGCCCTGTCTAACATGTGGGCATCTGTATCCTCCACTGAGACAAAAGGCAGCAGGCTTCTGTCACCATAGGTACAAAAAGAAAACTGAAGACACAAACTCCTTCAGGATTCATGAAGATAACCTGGTTCATTTAAGTTGCCTCATCTGGAAGCAGCAGGTAACCAGAGGGCAGCATATGCCAGAAAATGGTAGACAAAACCTGGGGCTGGCATGCAAAAAGCTTCTGCCAGACTTGCATTCATTTATGCTTTTTGTATCTTGGAAAGCAACAATGTAAAAACAGACAAATCCACTTTGAATATCCTGCTTGGAGCAAAGTGAAACTGACCTGATTTCTGGTCAGTTTCAGTTTGGTGCTGTGGGACAGGCAGCACAGGTAGTGGAGCAGCAGGGGGCAGGAAGGGCCAGCAATCAGGATGAGAGGGAAAGGAAATGGAACTAGGAAGGAGGAGGATGGGGAAGTTACATTTCTGTTTCTTGTAGAATCTTTCATGAAAACTGCATCTAAAACAGTTTTTAAATACAGCAGACTAGCAGAAGGAGAGAGAGACATCAAGAGGCATATGCAAAAGGAATTTAAAATGTTTTGTTCTGAAGTTTGAGATATCAGAAAGCGTGGTTGAGACATGAAGATACAGGAGGTGCAGAGGAGAAGGCAGGACAGCAAGGAAACCAGTGCTAGCAGAGTGGAAAGAACAGATTCTCAAGGTAGCAAGAGAGCATGGTTATGATGTCTGAAATTTCAAATGAACAATCAGGAATGTGTATTGTAATTTTAGTCCTTGGAATTTTGGCAATTAAGTCCTTAAAATGGCCTGTGAGATACTACAGCATAGACCTGAGAAATTCTAAGCACGTGGCAGTGATTTCGGTTTATCCTGTCTAACCTTAGCTACATAAAAGAAATTAGGAACAAAGCCATGTACCTGTTATACGTTTTCAACATGAGCAGAACCACTGTGAATATAATAATCAGTCCAACTACAATGGCAGCTACGATTGCTCCAGAACCTACAAGGGACAAGAAAAAAGACTGAGCATGTTTTGTTTAAATAGCTTTTATTGTATTGCTTGAACAAGACTTTGCCCGGTTAATTTAAGTTACATGTTTAAAGAGAAAAAGATTTCCAAAACCTGTTTCCATTTTTATTTTTATTCCGGAAAAACAGCGATTTGAGGTGCAAACTCTGCAGGCAAAGGCTTAACTCCAAACATTGTGGCACCGAATTAGCGCTTAAGAATTAGAGTAAAACTGACTAAAAATAAAACAAACTGACTGGTCTGTTTTCCTATTCTTTGCTGAAGGAAATACAATAAGTAAACAAACCCATTGAGAGACAGTCTGGTTCAGTGGGTGGGGATTCAGGAGACCTGTGGCTCTGCCCAACCGGTTATATGACCCTGGGCAAGTCGCTTCCCTTCTCTATGCCTCTGTGTTCCCTTCCACCCTTTGTCTGTTTCATCTTTTTGGGGCAGGAACTCTCCCTTAGTGTGGGTATGTCTACACTGCAGCTTGGAACGTGCTTTCCAGCTTGGGCAGATGGACAGGGCCGGCTTTAGGCCGATTCGCCCGATTCCCTGGAATCGGGCCCTGTGCCTAAGAGGGCCCCGCGCACTCACCCCGGCAGCAGTCGTCTTCGGGGGCCCCATTCCCCTGGCCAGAGCGCCGGCCGGAGCGCGGCAAGCCCCACGGCCCCGCTCTCCCGGCCGGAGCGCGGCCAGCCCGCGGGCCCGCTCTCCCGGCTGGAGCGCGGCCAGCCCGCGGGCCCGCTCTCCCGGCCGGAGCGCGGCCAGCCCTGCGGCCCCCCCACCCCCAGCCGGCAATTCGAAGTGCCGCCCCAGGAATCGGGCCCTGCACTTGCTAAAGCCGGCCCTGCAGATGGATACACAATAGCTCCACTTCTGCTAGCATGCTAAAAATGGCAGTGTAGCCGAGAGTAGCGGCTCAAGCAAACCACCCAGGTTCCAGGTGGGTTTGTACTCAGGCGGCTAACCTGAGCTGCTGCCCGTACTATCCCTGGCTACTCAGCTATTTTTAGCAATAGCTGGGGCAGAGCTAGTGCGTCTGTCTAGCTGAGCTGGGACGCATACTCCCAGCTGCAGTGTAGACACACCCCAAGAATCTGTGTGATGCCCAGCACAATGAGGCTATGATCTCTGCTGGGCCCTCTAGGTGCTCCCAATAAACAACTACTCACTGTGCATAAAGTTAAGCACATACCTACGTATGCGCTTACATATCATATGCATGCTCTACGTATTATATGTTTTTCATTACAATCTTCATACTAGAGGGCAAGTTACTAGACTTTGTGCCTGGGCTAGTAAATTCTGCAAAACTAGCAAATGATGTTGAGTAAACTAGATTAATAAAAACAATTAATAAAAAAATAAGTTATCAGTAACAGAAGACTTTTTTCCTTACTTCAAGTAGTCACAAAAAGAACAGGAGTACTTGTGGCACCTTAGAGACTAACAAATTTATTAGAGCATTTATGCTCTAATAAATTTGTTAGTCTCTAAGGTGCCACAAGTACTCCTGTTCTTTTTGCGGATACAGACTAACACGGCTGCTACTCTGAAACCTGTCGTTCAAGTAGTCAGTGTCTATTTAATAGCTGAAAGAATCAAAACACACATCAAAAACTAGTACAATTGCATTTAAACAGGACCTTCAAGACTGACACTTTTTTCAAACAAGCTCACTAAAATCCATTTTATTCTATTTAATTTTGATTATCTTTAGGAGGATGAATTTTCAAAGGGTGATGTGGCAGTTTTATATAAGTCCCTTGTTTAACAATGTTTGCACATGGGAATGTTTTCAGACATCTTTTCAAAATCTTCCCCAGACACATGGCATTTAAAATGCAACTCAAATATATCCATTGTCACAATATTTTTCTTACTCTGATAAAGAATTTCTTCTTGAGACTTTGTGGTCACATTTGTTGGAGACAGGGTATTATTTCCCAGTGGTGCAGCTGTCGTCATCTTGATTCCAGCTAGACAAAGAAAGAAGAATGATTTTAAAAACAAACATTGAAATAGCTACTGTCAGCACCCATTTGAGATAACTGGACAATTATCCATCAGATATTTGGGTCTTAACCAAGAGCCACATTGTAATCACCTTACACCATGAATAGTTCTGTTGAAATGAATAAACCACTTGCAGAGTAAAGTCCTGTACCATGGAAGGAATTCTGGCCCCACTGATGCCACGGGGAGTTTTGCCATGGACTTCAAGGTACCATGATTTCACCCAGTGTGAGTAAGGATACTCTTCTAGCCCCAAGTAAGCTATTCACCTTAAAATGTACAGTGCTCAGCACTGCTGACACATGGAATAAAGTAAGCAAATTCCATGCACGCCAAAGATGCATTTTTACCATTACACAGTACTAAGTTTCAGAGGAGAAATCATGGCATAAACTGGAAACAAGTGGCAACAGGCAACCAAACTACTAAGACAGTGAGTTTCAAAGTCCACATTGCAGTTTGGCCTAGAACTCCTGATATTTGGAATAGCAAAAGAACCTTGGCACAGTGACAATTCTGACCTTGAAAGTGGAAAACACAGGAGGGTTCTCTATTAGCATGAACAATTGTATTCTGCAGTACTTGTCCAAACCACTACCGCCTGAAATAGTGACACTGCAATCTTTGGGGCTTTGTTTTGAATATGAAGGGAGAACAACTGGAAAAGAATAGAAGATTCTCATCTATGCCATACACAGTTGCATTACATTCCTCATTGATTTGCACCAATGACTGGGAGACTCAGGGCAGGTCTACACTATGGGGTTAGTCAACCTAAGTTACGCAACTCCAGCTATGTTATTCACGTAACTGGAGTCGACGTACCTTAGGTCGACTTATTGTGGTGTCTACACCGCGCTGGGTCAATGGGAGAAACTCTCCTGTCGACTTACCTTATGCTTCTTGTTCTGGTGGGGTACAAGAGTCGGCGGGAGAGCAATCTGCTGTCGATTTAGCGGGTCTTCACTAGACCCGTTAAATCAACCCCCCATGGATCGATCACCGCATGTCGATCCCCCGGTACGTGGAAACAAATCCTCAGTCAAGGATACTAAATTTCGTGATTCAGTAAATGAACAAAGAGACTATTTTTAAACAGGCTACCGCTTCCGCAAACTTACTTTGACAATTGTGTTGGTTTTGATTATTTGTGATAAATCTCTGTAGTAAGTGTTCAGTAATGTCAATGAAACCTTAGGAGACTTCGCCCCACTAAATCTTTGCTGACAAGTGAGGTAAGGCTGGCAGGAGAGATTTGGGACAATAATTAGGTTTGGGGTTGGCAGACAGGAGAATGCATGAGATTCTACAGCACGTATCTATGATAATAAGTAAAATACTTTGCACTCTCTTTCTTTTAGAGTTCTCTGAGGAGAGGGGAAGAAAAAAAATCTTTATGCCAAAGGAAGATTTAAATCTTCAAATTACTTTCTTCATCCAAAGTGGAAAAAAACCCATTACTGTAATTAAATCACATTGCAGTCAATTATGATCCCACAGATGGCATATACTGCAACAGGGCCATAATGGCAAAGTGAAATGAAGCATGCAATCCAGCCCACTCTTACTAATATGTCTGAAGGGGGACAGGACATGTTTGTGACTGGATCGATTGTGAGAGTTTAGTTTGTTTCTTCTTTCTACTCCATTTGGTAGCATTCTCAGGGAAAACATACAATCTGTACATGTTAATATAGGAAACGCTTTATAAACCAGTCAGCATTCTGTGTGTTACTAGTAACCTTAGCCATTAAAATAATCTTTCAACAGTGGAAGGAGCCGAACACCACTTCATAGAGACCACAACATTTATTTCAACTCTTTGATTTAAAGCTATAATGCCCTCCAACCTATCGAGATTAAATCATTCCTCAACTCCGGATGCTCTGGCTGAATCTCGTCTGTACTGATCAGGATTGGGCCTTACTCGTTTTCTTACGCTCCGCTGGGATATTGTACACTTTATGGGCAAGTTCTTGGTATCTGTTTGCTTCATGTCATGTAAAATTAAAGCTAACCCAGAGCCCAATATAGGGCTTTTTTTAAATGGAGAGAAACCAACTGGTGAGATGGGGAAAATGATAAGCTGCACAGCTTTACCACACACTCAACCAACCAGCTACTGAGGCTCCTTGAAGATCTCTCCCCCCCTTCCACACTATCCTCAAAAAGCTTCGCTGAAGCAGAATTTACCAAAGAAACGGAAAACACCAGGTGCAGTTTCTGGGAAGGGAAGCGGGGTCATGACTCGAATCGCCTTTGCTGTGGCCGGGTTCCATTTCTCAGGAAAAAATTGGGACATGATTAAGTCTCCACTCATGAGGCCAGGAGGCTCCAGTTCACTGACATTTTTGCCATGACAACAACCCTTTATACTGCTACCGCACCTTCCATCTGTGGGGCTTGATCGCATCATTGCAAAACCATAGATCCACGTCTGCCCCCTTACTTACCTCCTGAAAGCAGAGGTCAGGTTTGCCATCGTTAACAGAGCAGGAGGCTGTACTGCCTGCTACGTTTGTGGTCCACAATGGCACCAAGCGGAACACAAATCCCCGAACCTGGGTCTTGGCAGGAGCAGAAAGGCTCTTCCTGCCATTGAAGGAAGAGGAGTGAAAAGGGCAGAGCTGCAACGGTAAAGGTGGCTGGGCAGCAGGGTTAGAGAGACTGTTAACACATGGTCATTGTTCTGTGGGTGCATCGAGAACATACTGTACCAGCACAGTATGCGGTTGACAAGTTGTCTCTGGGTGCCAGGAGCTAGGGAGCCCACTATCACCATGGGAACCTACAGGGCATGTATGCTTCCTAGCACACAGTTGACTGTGGGTCTCCTAGTCTGCTATCCCAGTGATGCATTGGGCCAGGAGAAGGCAATGAAGCACAACCCGCAGTACCCTGGATTGCGTATATAGACCGTGCGGACAAAGGCTGCTGTTTTCATCTATGATAGAAATAGGTATCAATCATTTCCTGCAAATAGACCATGTCTTTGTTGGATAACTTTCTATGTATGCCATATTTTGGGGGGAGAGATTTGTATTAATACTGCATTGAGCTGGCATCCGTGTGTGTGTTACACCCCTTTCTGCTTAATGGAATCAGAATAGCTAAACTTTATAGCATATGCCCTATACTGCTAGCAGCTAATAGTGACTCTGCTTTAGTCGTTGAGTAGTAAGAACCTGGACCAAGATTATGAAAACTGGAGCCTAGAGTTAGGCTCCCAAGTAAGTGATCTTTAAAAGTATGGAGCACCGGGATTCTCAGCCCTTTTGAAAATTAGGCCACTTGAGAGCCTAAAGAGAGATTTAGGAGCCTAACTTTAGGCACATAAGGTGAAATCCTGGCCCCAATAAAGTTAAGGGCAAAACTCCCAGTGACTGCAACACGGCCACAATGTCACTCTGATTTTTGAAAACCTTGGCCCTTGGCTGGTGGAGCGGGAGGATCTGAGTTCTGTCCCTATTAAGTGCTAATTGGCCAGTATGTGCACCACAGCAAGAGCTCATAGTCATGGATTTGTTACAACAGTAAAGAGTTCTATTAATAGGTTTTTTAATACATTGAGAATGGGAATTCAGAAAGTTACTGGCAGAGGGGAAGTGGGCGGCTGTTTTTTCCAATGTTTGCCCCAGCACGAAACGTTAGAATCGCAAGGTTGTTTCAGTCAAATGGTTCAACTCTCTTTGGTTAAAAAAAAAAAAAAATTTTTTTTTTGAAAATAACTCTGTCCCAGAATCCACAACTGGGTCATTCTGCTCTGACTGAATGGTTCCTTTGTGTAACCAAGGCCAAGTTACTTTTGTAACATGATGATTTAGTCTGGTCATAGATCTTTTCACCCTGAAAGAAAGATTTTGGATCAAAAGCTCCAGTCCTCGACCATGAAGTTTTGCAGAGAATTTGCAACTCTTCTGATAAAACCTGACAGCCCAGTGTCAAAACGATATTGTAGCTTCTCCACAAAGCTGCATTTTTCATCACCCACTGCTCCCCATTTCAATTAAAGCTGTTGCTTAGCACTATGTGCCTGTTTAATGAGAAACACGTAAAAGGCATCTCAGGCATTTGCTTTGCTCTCATTTCAAGATGACAGCAGGGAGAGCATGATGGGAGTCAGGCATTACAGCTGGGAGGAAGCTGAGCAAATATTTCTTTAAGGGCCCAACTCAGGAAAAGTCATGCCCAGCTTTCACCAACTAGCAGGCTGTTCATGACTACAGAAACACACCCTCCAGGGCCTTCAGAGGGCAGACCGGATGGGTAATTTTCTTGGACTGTGCGCTAAGAATGCCAAACAATCGCCGATGAGAGAGGGTTGGACATTTTGGAGGATTGGTAACAGAATACTGCATCTGTCAGTTCTTGGTCACTAGTTCAAATCCATACCAGTAACTTATCAACTGTCCACTCAATCTGCCTAGAGTAAATAAAGGGCTGCTGGCGTACAGGCATTTATGGGGCCAAATTCATCTGGGGTCTAAGCAAGTGACACCCCATTGGGGTCAATGGGGACGTGCTTGTTTACAGCAGGGATGAATTTTGTCTACGGGCCACGGCTGGCTTTTAAACAATCATACCAAGGACTCCATGTGAAAATAAAGTTATGTCATCACTTCGTTTCCATATTGCTACCGTAAACCTGCTGAACATACAGGTTGTAAATACCTGTTAGAGAGGCACAGTATTCTGAGCACAGGAGTGGCAGCGAGGAACTCTGCAGGGCTAATCCCGGTCTGCCACAGTGCCTTGGAGAAACCTCTCTGCTTAGTTTCTCACCTGTGAAACAGGGAAGAGTTCTACTGATTTGCACAATTGGGTGTCATCCACCCAGTCCCAACTTCTAGCAGTCAGAGGTTTAGGGACACCCAGAGCATGGGGCTGCATCCCTGACCATCTTGGCTATTAGCCATTGATTTCTAGCCACTTAATCTCTAGACCACACTGGCCCATAATATAT